GATAAACAGCCAACAAACCTCATTGCTGCTTATCACGAAGAGTACATAAGTTAACTTATGTAATTATGACAACAACAGTTACAGTTCAGGTTACAGCTGAAAAATACACGTTCTGTAAAACCAGAGAGAGTCAGAGATATAAAGAGCTTTTAAAGGTTGTATTTATGACTAGACTGCTGTAGTAAACAGGATTACATTTTAGTTTCCTTTGGAAGTATCCACAATGTTCCTTAAGTTACTATATTAAATTCAGTAGAAGTGTCACAGTGCAATTTTAATTTGAGTAGATTAATTACCTAGAGCCCGGGTCTGCTAGAGGAGTACGGTCTAGATCTGCTCTATATGGCGAGTGTCCTGACTTCTTGGTGCTATATAAACCAAATGGAACTGAATTAATTGTTTTTTCATTCAGAGACACAGAGGGAATTTATTGGTTGTGTGGTTCTCTACAGGGGAGGATCTAAAGGGACACTATAGGGTGGCAGCTGCCTCCTCTAAAAAATGCCTGGCCACCCCAGCTGGGAGTTGCATTTTAAAAATAAAGTGAAAAATGTATATGTGATATGTATATTATTGTTTTGGCATCTTAACGAAAAATCTCTTATTTTTTTAATTTAGCCTTACTGTAAATAACAAACTATTAAATCAAAGGAAGTTGATAGAGTGATTCAAGGCAGTGTGTGATATCTGGTTAGCTTATGTGAATGGAGAGATGTTAATGGTCAATGTAGATAAGTTACTGTAATAACGCTAACCTGTCAAAACCAAACCTAACGTTAGGTATTTTAATAGCTAGCTGCAGTTAGCTCGACTGCTAACAAGCCCCCGCTAAACTATTTCAGGGTTCAAACTATAACGTTAAAAAATGAACAGATATACGTGTAGTGTTAATGCTTTAATTTTAAAATGACTTTTAGCAATCAACATACCTTAACTACGAGAGATTTTTTTAAAAAAGGGACCACAATGTCTGGTCAAGTATAACGTCATGGATGTAGTAAGGGTACCTAAATGACGTCTCAACATGCGACGGTGAGGAGTTGAAGGACCTCTCGGTGTGCAGACGCCAAACTTACAGTAACATTAGAGACAGCGACGATTGGTCTTTTCATTCAAAATTTCGTATTATTTGTGTGTAGTAACATAATTTACATACTAAACGGGTAAGTAACTACTTATGGTGCAAGTTGAATGTAACGTTAGCTGACGTTAACTGTTTCCAATACAAGTGAGGTGATCCCTTAAACGTTGTACAATTTTTGTGCTTAAAACTCTTATGGGCATGCGATCTAGTATTAATGCGGTCTAACTCTATTTGGAAGGTATTAAGTTTTTTTAAAACAAGTACTAACACTACAAAACAGCTTAAAGTTTTAATTATGGCTAATATGTAAAATATGCAAACTTACATTTACTTACATTGTAAAAAGCTTTGTGTATAAGAATTTCCATAAGTCTGTCTTCCCCTTATAAAAAAACTTTTCAGGTCATATTTTCTGAAACTTAAACTATATCCTGACAGTAGTACATGAGACAGATAATCTACCAGGCCTAAAAAAACATCAAGGAATATATAAAGATTATTCTTTCAAAGTTATTGTTATAAAAATTGCATACTGCAGCTTTAAATACTGTACTGATGTTTTTTTTTCTTTGAACAGAGATGTCATGTTTTGGTGGTAATCCCAATTTCTGCCCAGAATGTGGGAATATTCTTCCTCTCCCAGGAATACAGAACACAGTGTGCTGCCCCCGCTGCACCTTCTGCATCCCTGTAGCAGGTACCGACTCTGTCATGTCCTCTCCAAATGCCCACTCACAGTCCATGAGTGTGAATGTGAAGAAAAGAGCATTCTATTCTATTATGTATACCTTGCGCAAGGGTGTACATTAGCACAGTACACTGATCAATTTTGGAATGGACCTCTAAGGGAATGTTCTTCTTTATCTTTCAAATGTCTCAAGAAACAGAATTGATAAGCCTCTTACAGCCCTTTACACCAATCTGTATGAGGACACGTAATCTAGGGAGGAGAACAGAGAATCGGTTCCAGTTTAGTACCGGTTGCAAATTGTCTGATCCATCGGAATTGGAAGCTTCCAAGCATATCAATTCCTTTTATCAATGCCGGCATGTATTCCTGCAAAACAATGACGTCAAGAAGGAGTGATGGCAGAGAGGAAAAAACGGTCCAATGCATGGTTTCATTTCACGTAGAAAAGTGACAACAGTGTTAGTTGGGTGGCTGTGGCTCAGAGGGAGAGGTGGTCGTCTACTGTCTACTACGGAACGTTGTTGGTTTGATACCTGGCTCATCTGGCTGCATGTCGAAGTATTCTTGAGCAAGATACTGAACCCCAAATTGCTTCCTTTGTGAAAGTGAATGAGTGAGTTAGTTTCTGTTCGATGAGCTTTGCCATCACTCTGAATGTGTGTGAAAGGGCGAATGTGGCATGTGCTGACTAGAAAAACATGTACAGTCCATTTACTATTTAGTTGTGAATGAAAATTTTAAGTAAGGGTGGAAACACCAGCAGTTCAGTTCAGTAATTTTATTATCCAGGATAGGAAACTTGTCTTGCAGTCAGGGGCATAAAAACATTAAAAAACAACACAAGTACAGACAAAAAGTAAATTATTCCATTTAACAACAATGCTAAATTCACCTGTGCAAGATGCTAAAATTAAAATTACATGTGCAATTTAAGCAGGGTTATTGCGGTAGGAACATTCTTTGATTAAGAAAACGTAAATGAAAGGGTTAAACAGTGGAGCTTTTGCAGACCGGAGTCACAAACATGCCTTTTCCTCTGTTTCTACACTGTGTTCAGGTTCAGATATAAAAAAAACAGTTGCGTTGATGCTGACAGCCTGTGTAGGTTTAATTTTTTCCACGTTATGCTGATAATATACAATCCGATCTTGCCTTTGGTTTCACACCTGGTATTTTTAATGCACTCTTGTTATCCATATTGAGGTCAGATCTCTGTCTTCCAGAACAAAACCTGCAAGAGTAATTTTGCCGCCACTCAAATTACTCTTGCACTCACAAAGTTGTGTGAGTTGAGTTAGGGTTATTAACTTTGTAAAACTCTGTCTACTAAAAATTACTATACTATAATCTTTCTGAAAAGTTAAGATATTTTCAACTAGAAGCGGCTGAACAAAGAAGTCTGAGTGTTCTAAAAAGAAATGCTGGGCGCAACACTTTTTCTCTAGGTGGCCAACAAACACTCTCCTCATTAGGAGCAAGTGAAAAAAAGGCTATATGAACAATTAAATTTCAATTCAATTTTATTTGTATAGCGCCAATTCATAACAGAAGTTATCTCAGGACACTTTTCAAATAGAACAGGTCTAGACCCAATCAGATCCAATGAACCAGTATCAAAACTCAAGCTAGATGATTCTGCACGTAATTCATGTTCTTACGATTTTCCAGCTTCTTGCAAGATTACTATCTAGAGCCCACTGTTTGGTTTGTACATTTCTTGGCCTACTGTAGAAAACGATGGTGGTTCAACATGTAGGAAGAGGGACCACTACGTTGTTGATAAAAAACTTGCTCAGTAAACGAAAAGATAACGATTTCTTATTTTCAGGAGATTATACACAATTGAAAACATAATATGAAGATATTCGTATTCATTTTTGACAATAGATTTTCTTAAAATGTTACACACTTGGGCCTTTAATGTTAAAGGGGAACTTGGCAACTCTTCTTCAGGTTAATAAACCCGTTTTAGAAATCATTTGGATGGGTTAAATGGCCTGTTCCGGTGAAAAATAGTGCGACCCCAGGCGACCCGCAGGCGGAAAACCAAACCTTGCAACTTTGGGACTAACCGTCCGCGGTAAATTGGAAATAGGAAATATCGCGAGAAAGCAGAACGGAGCGAGAAACACGAACGGCTTTACGGCAATATCCCATAAATGCACACCGCCGCCCTGCAATAACCGGTTAGTGTATAATGTATTACCCACCTTGGTAGTATTGGCTCACACGAAAAAGTTTGCCCGGGCAAAAGAAAAGGCAGGCATCAGCAGCGGTAGAAAGGGGAAGGAGAGGTCGCCGCAACGTGAGTTTTTTTTACGACGTGTTGTGAATACACATCCAGGCTGTAAGGGGGAGGCTGCGTTGAGAAAAGACATGCGATGACAAAAGTGAACAAAGACCAGTGAAAAATGGCGAGAGGTTGGCGCAAGTTCCCCTTTAAGGTTAACTGGTGGCTAGAACATAAAGTAACCCCTTCAGGGTTAAGAGGCTTTTTGTCACCTATTCACTGGGGACGAAAACAAACCAAAGCCAGAAAACCTCCACATTTCAAACTGATAAACCTTTCAGTTCATTGTTAGTTTTATTGTTCTGTCTGCAGGATCGACGATGGAATTGTGTACCAGTGTTGGCAGGACTCCGCCTTTCGCAAGTGCAGCAGCTGCAGGGTGGTCTGCAGGGGAGGGTAACATTTTACAATCCAGGTGTTCGAAGACAACCGTGCAGGATAGCTCTGGCGTTGGCGGGTGAGGTCTTCTGCTCGTGTGAAACAGCGTTTATTACACAGCGCTTGCAGGCACTCTTCTCTGTCATTTCTCTGTTGTTAGAAACTGTGTGATCCACAATGGAAAATGCAGCTGCTGTGCAGCACACCTGGTTTAATGGATTTGGTAGCGAAAAGCAAAACACACCTGCTACATGCTTGGTTTTACGATCCTGTACACTTCCATTTAGCCTTGGGGCAGCCAAGGGCGATGCGTGGTGTTCTAGTTATTCGAAAAGACACAAGTAAACCATGTTTACAGTATAAAGCAAATTTTTTGTGACTCTATATTTTAATGTTTTATTTAAAGCGCAGTAGGTTATTTTGGGTACAAATAATTTTTGCCGATATTTTAGTGAAACTTCCAGCAGGTTCCAAAAAGATTATTTGATGGTGGAGGTCTCATTCCCAGAGGGCGTCAAATACAGATGCGTTGTTGGCAACTACAACAAGCCAGAGTTACCTTGATTTTTTTTTCACACGATTTATCGTGTCTCACGTGACTACTTGTCAGAATTGCATGTGACCACAATGGTCATTAATAGATGAGCAAATGTTATTCGTTTATACAAAGCTTTACCCGATGGCAGCCTTTGATCAAGCCTAATGAGACATTTCGCGGGAGTACAGTTAGCTACGGGTTATCAGGTCTTTGTTTTAGCTGGAAAGACTCCACTGACGTGTGTCGATGCACAGGGGCAGAGGCCGTGGGCGCATGATGAGGGGTAGCACTCTGGGTCGGATCGCCACGCCGGGACATTGACAGTCGGTTGACCGGGCTCATGCGTATGGAGCGGCTGGGAGGTATCCTGCGTTTTCAGTGGTGGGTTCTCCCTGTGCGTGCTGTA